AGTGGAGCTTTTCTGAGTGGTACCATATATTTATATAGAATTTACAGAAAAGGTAATACAGCTCCTCCCATTTTGACTCTTATTGGTAATTTAAAAAAATCCTACAATTTTCTAAATTGCTATGGAGAATTAGCTTGAGTGGGCCAGAGTGAAATTTGAGGGTGCACATCCCCCCCCCTCCAATGTCACAATGTCAAACCTGCATTTTAGCCTTGAAATCATTATAAAATATTATCTTTTTTTTTAAAAGCAAGGTGGGGAAATTTTAACTCAAATCACATAATAATCAGAAAAAAGTTATCATATTTCACTTAACCTTTATAAAATGTGAAATAGATTAAACCATTTGGAAATTGTACTTAGAACTTTTTTCGTTACATGTAACCTTGTAGCGGAATAACATAAGAATGTGCATACTGCTTTTGGACTTCTTGGAAAGCATTTTTAATTCTTTTGTAAGATTTTGTTATTTCCTCCTCTAACAAATTCTGGATTCTCTGAAGTGCTACAGTCTGTCTAGAAAGATCCTTCATTGATTTTTCAAGCCCTGAAAAAGATTTGAATAAAGTTAGTAACAGTGTGTGGGGAACTGATGATAGTGCATCAAACAACCAATTAGTTTTTGTATTATAAAAAAATTGTATTATATTCCTCCTTTAATGTTAGTTGCATTAATACAATTGATTGAAATGTTTATACATACATTTATTTTTTACTTATATATTTAAATATTTATAACTATGATCATTTTGTATTGTTAACTTAGTATGTCGATTTACGATTAATTCAAATTTCCTATGCTATAATTCCAATAATATTCTTGCAGGATATTACTGGAATTATGGCCGAAAATATTGCTAAAAGCAAGAGTACCAAACTGATGAATCAATACATTTTAATTATTTTAAGTTTTTGATTCATGAGTTTGCATACACCTCAATCCAAATTTTTCTTTTCTCACCCAATTTTGTGAATTTTAAAATAGCTTATTTTGGAAGTAAATCTATTTTTAAACCATTACATTTACCACAACAATTAATGTTACAGATACCTAATAAATTTTACACACAAGTTATCTGTGTCAGCATCCCTAATTTTTAATCCAAATTACAACAAAGGCAGGTAGTCAACTGCACTTATCATCAAATCTTTTTTTTTTACTCAAAGCAAATAGTGAGATTGGACAGATCTGACTGTCATTCTTATAATGCACTCACAGCCCCAAGGTTCAGAGCACAATTTCACAGTAATGACAATCAAACCATAGACCCTTGAATTTATAGTCTGGCATGCTCATCACTAGACCATACCCAGCCCATGTGATTTAACTCTTGAACCAAAATATAAGGTTAATGATATATATATATATAAGCATACTTGTAATGATATACATAATTCTTTAATAACAATAATAATAAAGAGAATACCATTATTCTTTTAGAAATAATATTTATTTTCCTGAAAAAGAATATTGAACTATTCGAAAGAGCTCGAGTTTTGGGTCTCGTTTGAAAACTTTTGTATGTGAACCTGCATGCTAACTTCTAAATCAGAAATAATAATAAGGGATATACAATTCAAATTTTCACTAATAATACAGAATATCTATTGTTTCTTTCAGAGCTTCAAAAACTGAGTATACACAGACTATATTCGTCCATTTTTTTTTGCTCTGGAAACTAGGGGTTCCTGATTCCCTGGAACCCCCTTTGACTCAGCTCTTTTCTTACAATAGTAGTTACACTGATTTACATCGAGATACTGTTAAGTTAGAAAGACAAACTAGGTAATACCTGAAGAATTAAAAACAGGACTCTACCAGAAACTTTATAAACAGTTATTTATTTTAACAAGGAAAGTTCAAGCAAGTTTCAGAGCTAATAAGTTTTAGTTTTGTTTTCACTGTTTAATACATGGCTTTGGAAATTTAACTTCAACTGCATATAAAGATTAGAGAAGAAAATATGAACTTTTCTGGCAAGCACAATTGACATTTTCGTCAAAATGCCTTTAAAATATTTTACAACACCGTGCTTGGTATGCTGAGCACCAATTGTTGTCCTAAATGTTAGGGAAGGGAAAGCTTAGTTTTTATACTATATCATAAGTCCTGTAATTATCACATGCTAATGATAAACATTTGTTCTTTAACTTCCAGAAACCATAGAAACGATGGCTCATTATGAATAACACATCTGGTTATCTGAGCAACATATCTGCTTCGAACATTTAGTTCTATAAAACTGCAGTTCTCAAAATGTTGAAGAATGTTAAATGATTACTCTAACGTGTTGGCCAGCTTACTAATGTACAGGCAGTAAGATTACAGTAATTTTTAAAATATTTTTGCTAGCTTCCTACCTCTTCTGCCATGTGAAGAACTAGAACTGCTAGTGTTCGGCTGTACAGCAGTGTCTTCTGATGTTGAGTGAACACTACTGAAAGAATTTGTTGATCTTTGTCTATTTGGAAAGAAATACAAAAACTGGTCATTAAAAATCTTAAAACAGTAATCTAATTATTTTTCATTTGCTCTAAGTGAAGGATATTTAACAAACAGGTTTGTAGTCTTTGGACTTTACATATAAAGGTATTTAGCAGATTTTTTTTTCAACTGGATTACATCTCTGCCAACTACTTTCTACTAAAACTCTTAAGTGGAGAAATACTTGGAAGATGGTTTCGAAAAGGAGTAGCTGGGAGATACATTTAATATGTGGTTTCTAACCTGACTCCATTGGTTAATATAATATCCAGATAAGTATTGCTGTAACTTATTAAACCACTTTAATAAAAAGCAAATAAAGAAAACAAACTATTTCTTATATTGGTGTTTCAAACCACAATTCATCACAATATAAGTTTATGTTAGACTAGAGAGTTAATTACACTTATAAGAGCAATCTGCATATTATAATATAGACATATAATCTGATGCATAATGAATTTATGTATTTGAAAGTGCAATGTTGCACTGGCTAGACTTAAGGGTTGGGGTAATTAAAAACTTAGATAAAATTATTAATATATCAACACTGTTAAACAATGCAGAGTCAAAAGACATAATATTTTGAAGAATGAAGCCTTCACTGTTCTCCACTGCAGTGAAAAAAAATTGCAAAACAGATTAATTGGGACAACAATGAGCTCTGAAACAAAACCCTAACCCTATCAAGAGTTAAGCCTTTATCCAAAAAGTTGTGATTATATTTAAGAAAAAAAAAGCCTTGCTATGAAACTGGCCATATCTGCTGGCACCATTAATAAGATAATGAATAAGGAGTTGAAACTGATGAATATTTACAAAAGTTCACAAACCTCAAACTACAACTTAGGACCAATAGACATTTAAGATACAGATGGCCAAAGAGACTACAATCAAAGCCATCTCATTTGACTATATATTTGTCAAGTCCCTCAAATTTGTTTACATATAAATTTGAAAATCATGTTCACTTAAATGGAGGGTTTGAGGAAGTTGTGGTATCGAGAAATAATAGAAATATTGCCCAATCACAATCAAGAATGGAGGAAACACTTCTAAAGATAATGCAAGGACATGGAATAGTCTTTATAAAGTGCAGTTAACTCTCAGTATAACAATGAAGTATAAAGCTTTTTAAATGTTGTAACAGTTTACTGTTTGTAAAACACACAGGTAAATAAGAAAAGCCACACTTCTAATTAAACAAAACATAAGCAAATTTAACCCAAAATTCAGAACAGTAAAACTGCTTCCTATCTATATGTAATAGCATATGTATAAAATAAATAAGTTCTAAGTACGGGTAAATTAATCTAGAACTTGAATTTTAGCAAATTATTTTACCTAGAATTTCTCATTTCTCTTTCAGTCAATTTTGTTTACAGTTATTGCATTTTAAGTTTTCCTTGGTAATTTTGGGGGCTTCTCTTACCATTTAGTTTATAAATCTCAAAACTATGCGTAGAGAGCTTTATTTTTATTGCTTTCAATTATTTTTCTTACACACAAACCAACCTGCAGCAATTACAGCTATCTCTTTGTTTCAATAAAACAACAACATACCAGTAACAATTTTTACCATCACCGTACGAGAATATTCATTAAGCACAAAGTTACATAATGGGCTATCTGTGCTATATCTACATGTATAGCATCATAAGCCCTCAGATTTACCACTGAGTACCACCAGGGGGCCTGACCTTACAACAATACTATAAATCTTCTTACCTATTCCTAGATGCTTTAAAGTCGAGAGAAGCAGTCTTTGTTGATAACACTGGTATTTTTTCTGGTAGTTTAATCTGGTCTCTGTCTGTGTGCATATTTTCAGGTTCAGTTTCATTACAGGGAGCAGTAAGATTTGTGGGGACATTAATTTCCACTCCTATGCTGGCTGCCCAATTTTGGGAGAATCCTATCAACAATGTCCTCCTTCAGAGCATTTGGTCACCACAGCATCTGGTACTCCACTCCCAACAAGACTTCACAAAAATGAAATTACTTCTGACACTGGCTGCCTAATTTTGGAAGAATCCCATCAACAATGTCCTCCTTCAGAGCATTTGGTCACCACTGCATCTGGTACTCCACTCCCAACAAGACTTCACAAAGATGAAATCTTTGAAAAAAATGTCAGAAGTTATTTCATTTTTGTGAAGTCTTGTTGGGAGTGGAGTACCAGATGCTGTGGTGACCAAATGCTCTGAAGGAGGACATTGTTGATGGGATTCTCCCAAAATTGGGCAGCCAGTGTCAGAAGTAATTTCATTTTTGTGAAGTCTTTGTGGGAGTGGAGCACCAGTTGGCATGGCAACCAAACGATCTGAAGTAGGGAGTTGCTGGTGGGATTTTGCTGAAACTAGGCAGCCAGTATCAGAAGTAATCATTGGTTCTAAAGGCACTACATGGGAGCTTCCATTAACATCAGAACTATTAGGTTCAACTGTCCCTGAAACATCAAAAACTTTAAGAACTTAAAAAGTGACAGCAAATACAGAATTTGTAAATAAAATAACCGATCAATATCTGGTTTTAATGTGCTGGTATGAAAAAAAAAAAGAATGTGAAGATAAAATGGTTGAGTATTTTCATTTTAAACATCTGTACATATGTTATACACATGCAATCAAAACAATTATCATTAACATCAGAGCAAAAAATTTTCAGTGATAATCCCAATAGTATTGACCAGCCTATGATTTTAGGTTAGTCATAAATCCATATAATAAACTTAGAATGGAAAACAATCCATAAAATAAAAATATATATATTTCAAACAAAAGATAAGTAAATATACCTTCTTCTATATCTCCATTTTCTAGTCTGTTATTCACATCGATCTCAGGAACACGTTCTGGATTCCTTGCTTCAGATTCAGAATTAGTATCAATACTTTGTGAGGAAGAAAGCAGATTTTTTCCTGCTTGATCTTTCTTATTCTTCTTTTTCTTGCTCTTTTTATTTTTGTTGTTTCCCTGCAAATTATAAACACACAAAAATGCACACGATTCACTGATTTGGAGTACAAGCTTTTAAAAAATTGAGAAGTCTTAATGTATTATCTTACAGATGATTTAGACAAAGTTTTACCAGGTTTTTCAATATCCAACATTGATCATATGTACAATTATAAAAACATACTTTTTTAGGATTATAAGCTTATTTTTTCCCTTTTTGACAAAATTACAATAAGTTTCTTAGTTTTATGATGATATGTACAATAGTAACTAATGGCCTCTGAACTTTCAAATAAGGTTCAATCCCTGCATACTAACTGAAATGTAGTTTGCCCCCCTCCCCATCTTACAGTACAAACATGCACCCTTGGTAGAAAATACACAATAAGAAATAGTGCTTTAAAAGGCAGTCTTTGAATTCTTAAGTTAATACAATAAACTAAAACTTTAAATAGATAAAATATTGATCATTGTCATGGTTAGTAACCTACATGATCACTCAAGTCTTAATTATTACTTACTATTTCTTTTATATAACTAGATACTAATTAGTATCTAGTTTTATCCTAAAATAAAAGTATTAATTACCAACTCGTTAACAGTTAAACTTAGGTGATCATATAGCCTACCAACCATGACAACTGATATCTGATCACCACAATATTATTGTAAGCACTTAAATAAATTTTACCATTCATTTCAATATTTGAAAATTATGGCTGTTTAACCAAATACAGCAAAAACCTTTAAAATGTAGAAACTTTGGAATAATATGAAATCTGCAGTTGAAAATTTGTTGATCTTAAACTTTCCAGTTGTAAGTTAGCTCTAAACAGGCTTAACCTGAAAGTGTGAACTTTTTCTTTCTCTACAATAGTGCTTTGGTTTACAAGTTTCCATAAAGATGCACATAACTACCAGTACATGTGAACAACTTGCATGTAAAAACATAAAAAGAAATAAATATATTTGATACCTTAAACCTATTAACATTTCCTTTACACGTCCACTCATTCAGGGCTTTAGAGGCACCATCTGAAAAAAACAACAACAAAGGACAATAATTAATTTGAGTAAAACAAAGTTCTATACACATGTACATGTTGAATATCATACATTTTATCTAATTAACTTACCTATAAACATCTTAGGGATATAACTAATACTTATCTGTTTGTTGTCACAAACCTATTAAATGGACTGTCTTTGTTATACCCAACACGGGTATCGAAACCCAGTTTTTAGCATTATAAGACCTTCAGATTTACTGATGTGCCATCAGAGGGCAAAAACTGTACTAGAGGAAATTTTAATTCTGTTTAAACAAATAAGTTTACAGCCAATAAGGTTAACCCTGTTTCAACTTAAAGGTAATTGAAAATCGTATTTTTCTTGAAACTTGCTCTTCATTAGCATTTATACTACCCATTGCTTTATAAGAACCCACAAAGTAATTATACAAGTATTTAATCATCCTATTTTCAGCATCAGCATCCTATGGTGCTTGCTTTTCCTAAATATACAAAGTATATAAACCCAAGCAACATCTCCAAGTTCATTGATTCCAGAACCTTAATATAGTGTTTGTTTTTCTTGGATATCCATAAAATACAGAGTAAACAAACCGAAGCAATACCTCCAAATTTCTTTAACAGCTACAGGTTTGGTTCCAGAGTATATTTTCAGTGACAAATATGTTATACTTTAAATGTCTTTAAGAAAAAAAAAATTGGATCAGGAAACTTATTGATTTTAGTTGAATGATGCTATTGTAGATTTAATGTCAATTAAATTATTGAGGGAATTGGAAAATTAAAACATTACAGCACATTTAATTATTACCTATTATGATATATATATTTTTTAATTCCAAATTACTTTAACTTATAGTTATAGTAATATATGTGTCCAGAATAATTTTAGAAATGAGAATGTCAGTAAATGTTAATTTGCATGAATCTGTGTGTTACATTAATGAATCCTGTTCACACGAAAGATTAGCTTCGGCTTTAATGCCTCGTTGTTTATCCTGACAAAACACACAAGGATAAAAGAAGGTTTTTTACTCTACACAGCACTTGAGCTTATAGTAGAATATAACAAATAAAAATAACACCATAACACAAACATATGGCACCAAAAATTCAATACTGTTACTCAGGTATTTAAGTTGAAATCTTACAGGTGCAGTATATTTTCTTAACACTTTCCATGAAATCACTTGAATAACAACTCTTAAAAAGTTATACAAGAAAAAATCCTCAAGTTTCCAACCGAGATGTCTAAATATCAACACTATTTCCATGTACTTAATTTCAACTCAACTGTAAGAAAAGTGCAATTATGTGATTCTCTCTTGATATAGCAGAAGTACAGCTTACGCAGCAAGTACGCTCCGACTTACTTGTCTGTTCTATATGAAACAGCAGTAAAAAAAGATGTACATTACCATTGACCAATCAAATGAATCAAAGAATAATGAAGTCTGACAAAGCAACAGTTATTCACTTTAGAATGTTTTTCCTATACTACGAAGGAGGAATATCTTCAAGAATTAGTTTTCTACGAGACCCTAGGATTTGGTTTAGTTTTCAGTACTTCAAATATCAACCCACTTTGGTATAACTGTAAGTTAATTAAAATTCAGTTTGTTTGTTTTTTAAATTGAAAACTGGTATTCTCTTAACTACAATGTGATGAAATCTTCATATACACCACCATGATGTCCAAGTCACGTTTGTGTTTTGATTAACTCTTTTTCTGTTGTTAGAATAATTGGTTGTGATATCATTCACCTTTCAAGAATGTTTTGTGTACGTATCCTTCACACTCCCCTAATGTTACACAATTACACTTTCTGTATTGGGTAAAAATGTGGTATGCAAATACTAAATATCTCATTTTCCAATTGTATATATATTTCCTATCCACAACATTTTAAAATTTTTCTGAAGTTCTAAACTGGACCATCCTAAATCCAGTTGAGGTCATGTGCTAAATTAGCCTGAGGTGTTACTTTCTGTAGACTGTTCAGTGAAGCAAGTTATCTATTGTTTCATGGGACAGTTGCAGCATGGGATTGTCACATGGGGAAGAGAAATTTCTGTATTCTGTTCCGTTTTCTGATTGGTCAGCTACGGAATGTATGTATATTGTAAATGCAGTAGTGACATTTTTCAAGAAAGATTTTCCTGAACTTTAAGGAGAACAGTTTGTTTCTGATTTTAAAAGCACCAAGACTCATGGACAAAGTTGGTCCTTCTTCAACTGTAATCTGTTATATCTACTAGCTTGTTTAATTCAATTTTCCTTATTTCACTATTCTGATCAGCCACTAGCCAGCTTCTTCTTGTTATTTTTTTAACTAGTTTAATAATAACTAAGACATCAACACTATGTCTCATCATTTCAATGGTAACAAATTAATACACCTGTCCTTTCACATATTAGATCCTCAAACCTCTAGTATCTGTTGTGTGCCTGTGTGCTAGGCTCAATCTCGAGATTACCAAATACCAAAATCTTGGTGTTTGTCACACTTCTAAATAACTTGGAAGATATGAAGCAACGTATTCCAACAGCCTATACAAAAACAATGATATCAATTGTGTACTTGTTGAACAGCTGTTAGAGCAGAACTTGGATATATCATGGTGAATTGTGACTTCTGAAACACTTATATAATGTATACTTTATATTTAGGACCTATTTTTGAAAATTCTAGAACAAAAAATTGTCAAACCATTATAAAAAAAGGACTAGTTATATAACATAAGAAACCAGCACATCAAATAAGATGTGTGGAGTGAACATTTCTGTTTGTTAACTACATTTACAAAAAACAACCATTTAAATCATTATCTATTGTAGCACAATAGTGCCTTATTCTTACTAGTCCTAACAATAAGAAACAACCATTTAAATCATTATTTATTGCAGTACACCAGTGCCTTATTCTTACTAGTCCTAACAAAAAAAACAATCATTTAAATCATTATCTATTGTAGCACACCAGTGCCTTATTCTTACTAGTCCTAACAAAAAACAACCATTTAAATCTGCTACAATGATTAAATTAGTTTTTCAGTAAGTTTAATATTTATCTTAGTGTTTCTTAAAAACGATTACTAGTATAAATATATATATATAAAAAAAAAATTTAAAAGTAGCAAGAAAGATTCTTACCTTCCATAAAGGCATTAATGGCTTGGGTCACATCATAATCATAATACTGGAGAACTAATACAATGTCATCATTACTTTTGGGTGGTACTACTTCCTTG